CAGGCCCCCCCAGGTCCCCCCAGGCCCCCCCAGGTCCCCCCAGGCCCCCACCACGATGGTGCTGAGCTGCACGAAGGCGAAGCCGCGGTTGAGCTGCGTCTGCCGGTCCTTGATGACCCTCACGTTGGCGGCCGAGAGGGCGGCGAAGGGGGCGAGGGCGGCCAGGATGGACTCCAGGCTGCTCTGGGGGTGCAGGTTCCGCAGGATGATGGCTGAGGGGGGCAGGGCAGGGGGGGATACACACACAGTGTCAGGGGGAGCCAGGTTTGGGGGGGACCCAGGTGTGCAGGCACCCCCCAAGGCTCTAATAACACTCTCAAGACCCTCCTAAATCTGTCTTTAGGTTCTTCTGGACCACCCCCTCCAGTTCCAGATCCTCCAAACCCCCCTCAAGGCCCCCAGTACCCCCCAAATTCCCCCTGGATTTGCCCACAGACCCCAAAAGCCCCCCCATGCCCCCTCGAACCCCCTAAATCACCCCAAGACCCTTCAAGATCCCCCCGTGTCCCTCCAGACTCCACTAATCCATTTCAAGACACAGGATCCCCGTCAGCCCCTTCAGCCCTCCCTAGACTCCCCCCAGAGCCCCCAGTCCCACTTCACCTCTCCCAGAACTCCCCAAAACCCCCATACATCCCTCAGGACCCCCATAATCACATCAAGACTCCTTGAAATGTCCCCAAATTGCTTCAGAACCCCAAAGACCGTCACAAAAATGCCCTTAACCCCCCCCCGAGGGTCCCCCCAACTCACTGTCATTGGCGTTATCGGCTCCGGGCTCGGTGCCCCCCTGGGATCCCCCAGGGGGTCCCCCCAGTGTGGGGCCATAGGCCTGGGGGAGGGGCAGCAGCCCCCCCCCTCCCGGCACCAGCTCCGGCCGTGGCCCCCCCGGGCCCCGCTGCTCTGCCTCTGCACCCCAAAACAGCCCCCCGGGACCCCCGTCAGCCACTGAGCCCCAAAACGGGGGGTGAACCACCAGCTGGGGGGTTGGACCCCAACACTGGATGGTCACCCCCAAATTTTGTGGGCAAACCCCCAACTGGGGCTGTGAACCCCAAACCACCCCCCGCCCTCCAATTCCAATTCCCTCCCCCCCCCAGTTCATTACCCGAGCCCCTAAATTCTTCAGTTCACCCCCAAACTCCTCCCCTTTCCCTGTGACAGCTTTGGGGACCCCCAGGGCAGTTTCGGGGACCCCTCAGGGTAGTTTAGGAGCAAATTTGGGAGCAACTCCGGGAGCAAGTTTAGGAGACTTTGGGGGATCTCCTGGGTGTTGGGCAGAACCCCAATAGTTTTGGGGTGAGAACAGCCACTTTTGGGGCAATGCAGGGGAGTGAAAGGGGGCCCACAGAGTTTTGGGGTGAATCCCAAGGGTTTGGGGTCACTCACCAGCTTTGGGGACTCCGCACTTGAAGCATTTCTCACGTCGCTTGAAGTTCTGCACCCCACACTGAGACCCCACAAATCCGTCACACCCAGAGCCCCCCGGACCCCCAAACCTGCCCAGAGACCTCCCAACTGCAGCACCCCAAAACAATCACACTCTGAAACCCCCCTGGACACCCTCAGACACCCTCCCAAGATTCCCCAGGACCCCCAGTCTGCCCCCCGGACCCTCCAAACCCCTTCAAAGCCCTGCACAGCCCCCACCAACCCCTTTGCACCCTCCCTAGAACCCCCCAAGCCCCCCATTCCTCCCAGGACCCCCAGAAATCCCTTCAAGAACCCCCAGGACCCCCCAAATTCCCCCCTCAGGACACCCCCCACCCCAATGCCCCCCGGCTCTCTCACCTTGGCACAGAGCCAGTCCTCGTTGATCTTGGGTTTGGGGTCGCTGTAGTGCAGGGACACGCGGTGCCCCAGGAGGGTCAGCCCGGCCTGGGGGGCACAGTGGGGGTAGGGGGGTACAGGGGAGGTCAGGGGTGGCACAGGTCAGTCAGGGGGAGCACAGAGCAGGTCGGGGGGGCACAGGGACACACAGTGACCCAGGATGGTCAGCCTGGCCGGGGGGGCACACGGGGCAGGCACCACGGCTCGAAGGAGGGGGGCACCAGGACTTGTATTGGGGGACACCAGAGGGGGCACCAGGACTTCTTTTGGGGGGCATCAGAGCTCATGGTGGGGGTGTCCTAGTTAGAGCAGCCGGGAGCAGTTCAGCACTGGGTGGGTGTAACCCAAACTCGGGGTTCTACACCCTCCACGTCATTTCCTAGGAACTGGTAACAACAGACCACCTGCAGCAGCTGCCCAGAGCACACCCGATCCCTCAGGACACAACCTGGGTGTCAGGAAGCCTGTGAGACAGGAGGATGTTCCTGTCCTCACACCAATACCTCAGGTGGGATAACTCCCCTCCAGGGAGCCGGTAGCACCTCCACACCTGAGGGGTCACCTCTGCTAACGGGCCACCAAGGATTCCAAAAGTATCTCACAGCTCGCAATCACCCCTTGTGGAACTCCCTGCCCTGGGGGAGGGACTGGGCTCTCCCACTCCAACCTGAGGGTGTGTAATCTTGGGGTCTTGGCACCTCTGGGCCCCACTCCTTGGATCCAGAGGACCAGAACCTCGACCGGACTGCGCCCACCACCCTCGACCAGACTGTGACCAGCACTCTCACCAACAGCCCTTCCTTTCCTGTTCCTTTGGGCTCAGGGGACCACGTGGGGCTCAGCACGGGGGCCAACAAACACCACTCTGTTCGTGCCCCAGGCTGCTGGGTTATACAGCTGCGTTTTGTGGGTTAAAACCAATTGTTTGTCCGTATAATTGTATTTATTGCGCTATTGTTAATTAATTGTAACTCTGACTTACACTTCCCTTTGAGTTGGGTTCGGTTCTCCTGCCAGTTTACCTGTAAACCAGCACAGGGGGGCACCAAGACTTGAATCAGGGAGCACCAGGGGCTCAGTGGTGGCACCAGGTCACACAGCCCTCACACTGGGGGCACCGGGGGGCACGAGGGGGTACCAGGGCTCCCCTGGGGTTCTCCCCAGGGCCCCCAGCCTTGCCCGAGGCCTCACACAGAGATCTGCCCCAGGATTTGCCCCAGAGGGCACAAGGACCTGCACCAGCACCAGCACAGGGCTGCACCAGAGCCCACACAGGGGAACCAGGGCTCCCACCACGAGGGCACGAGGCCTCCCACCGTCCCTCAGAACAGCCCACACACGAAGGGCACGAGGCTCCACACCAGGGCTGGCACCAGCGGGCACAGCTCCCGCCCCAGGGCTGGCACCAGGGCCCCACCCAGGAGCCAGCACGGAGGGGCACACCAGGGACCACCAGAACGCACCAGGGCTGGGCCAAGGCAGGCTCGAGGACCACCAGGGCTGGCACCACCAGGGCTCACGGCTGCCCTCACACCACAGCCCTCAGAGCACCCCAAGGCTCGCCCAGACCACCCCAGGGCTGGCACAAAGCTGCCCCGGGGGGCACGAGGAGCTCAGCGTTTGCACGAGGGTCTCACAACCATCCTCCTGCACTGCAGCGCGCGGGGGGCACCCGAGGGGGGCACCCGAGGAGCTCTGCCCTCGCAAAAGGGGCTCAGTCCGCACACAGGGACACCCCAGGGTGCCACCCAGACACCAGTTCCCCCACAGACCCACCGGAGTCTGTCACACAAAGCACTCAGGGGCACCCCAGGGTCTCGCACGAGGGGCTCAGTCCTCAGCCAAGGATGTCAGTTCCCACACAGGGGCACCCCAGAGTGTCACCCAGGGGCTCAGATCCCACACAGGGGCACCCCAGGGTGTCACCCAGGGGCTCAGATCCCACCCAGGGGCACCCCAGGGTGTCACCCAGGGGCTCAGGTCCCACACAGGGGCACCCCAGGGTGTCACCCAGGGGCTCAGATCCCACACAGGGGCACCCCAGGCCGTCACACGATGCTCACAGGGTCACAAGGAAACAAACATGGCCCCTGACACCCGGGACACCAGTACAGACCAGTAACACCAGTACCCCCCCACGAGGCCCAGGCACACCCCTCAAGCCCCTCCCCCCCCCTGCCCCTCCCCCACCTGGTTGGCCTCCATCCATCTCGCCGCCTCCTGCACGTGGTGGAACTCGACGAAGGCGAAGCCGCGGCTCTGACCTGGAACGGGCGGGGGGTTGGGGGGGCACCCAGGGACCCCCTGGGTGGGGAAGGGCCCCCCTGGGTGCTCCCAGGACCCCACGGGGTGGGGATGGGCACCCCTGGAATCCCCTGCGTTGGGTTTGGGTGATCCCGGGACCCCTCTGGGACCCCCCAAGGAAACCCGGGAGCTCCTACAGACCCCTCTGAGCCCCCTCGAGAGTCTGGGCACCCCTGGGTGCCCCCTGGGAAGGGCTCAGCATCCCTGAGCGCCCCTGGGGAAGAGTCTGGCACCCCTGGGTGCCCCTAGGACTGAAGATGGGCACCCCCGGGTGCCCCCAGCTTTGGGTTTGGCACCCCTGGGTGCCCCCTCTGTGTAGCACAGCACCCCTGGGTGCTCCTGGAAGGGCTCCAGCACCCCTGGGTGCCCCTTGGGTGTGGAGATGGCACCCCTGGGTGCCCCTGGGGAAGTGATGGGCACCCCTGGGTGGCCCTCAAATCTGGTGCAGCACCCCTGGGTGCCCCTAGATGTGGGACCAGCACCCCTGGGTGCTCCTGAAGAAGGGACTGGCACCCCTGAGTGCCCCTGGGGAACAGGACCAGCACCCCTGGGTGCTCCTAGAAACAAGATGGGCACCCCTGGGTGCCCCCCAATTCCAGCGCAGCACCCCTGGGTGCTCCCTAGGGATAAGATTAGCACCCCTGGGTGCCCCTGGGGACCTGATGGGCACCCCTGGGTGTCCCCCAAGTCCAGATCAGCACCCCTGGGTGCTCCTAGAGATGAGACTGGCACCCCTGGGTGCCCCTGGGGAACAGGACTGGCACCCCTGGGTGCCACCTGGGAGAGGACGGGCACCCCTGGGTGCCCCCTAAGTATGGCACAGCACCCCTGGGTGCTCCTTGAAAGGGACAGGCACCTCTGGGTGCCCCTGAGGATGGGACTGGCACCCCTGGGTGCCCCCTAAGGCTGGCAAAAGCACCCCTGGGTGCCCCTGGGAAACTGGACCAGCACCCCTGGGTGCTCCTAGAGAGGGGACAGGCACCCCTGGGTGCTCCTGGGGACAGGATCAGCAGCTCTGATACCCCCTGAGCCTGGTGCCACACCCCTGGCTGTCCCTAGAAACAAGCCTGGCACCCCGGGTGCCCCCTAAGCCTGGCAGAAGCACATCTGGGGAACAGGAACAGAACTCCCGGGCGCTCCTAAAAATGGGACAAGCATCCCTGGGTGCCTCTGGGGATACGACCAGCACCCCTGGGTGCCCCCCAGCATGGGCATGGCATCAACCCAACCCCCTCCGAGGGATCCAAGTGTCTGGGTGCCCCCCCCCACCCCCTAAAGGGGATCCAGGTGCCCACCCCTCCCCCAGAGCAGAGCCCAGATGTGCAGAGAAGGGCCCAGATGTGCAGAACGAGCCCAGGTGAGACTCACCTGAGGACTTGTTGCGCATCAGCCGCACCTCGCGAGGCTGCACCCCCTGGGCCTGGAGCTGTGCACGGATCTGGGGGGACACAGGGACAGAACCACATCAGGAGGAACACAGGGGGACTCCAAACACCCCAAAACTTGCCCAGGTCCCACCCAAGAGACCCCAGCGTGTCTCCAGGGGGTTCCCAAACGTTCCCAACGTGAACTGTCAGTACTGGGGGGTGTGGCCTAAGAGAAAGGGGGTGTGGTTTCCTGGGGTAGAGCTGAATTTGGGGCGGGGCCAAGGGGAGGGGCGTGGCCAACCCTTCCCAGGGCCCTCCATGGACACTCGGGAGCTGCTGGTGGAGAGCCCTGGTGGGATTTGAAGGGACACTGTCCTCACAAGGGCGGGGCTCAGAGGGCGGGGCCAGGCTGGGTTGGGGTGGGGCTCAGTGGGGAGGGGGCAGGGCCAGTGAGAACACAGGCAGGGCTCAGCAAAAAGGGGGGGGGAAACCCCCTCAAACACAGGGCAGGGGCATTAAGGAAGGAATAGGGCCACTCTGAATGGGAGTGAGGCTCAGTGGGTTGGGGTGGCACCATCCCTGGCAGGGGCAGAGCCATCTCACACACAGGGCAGAGTCATCCATGGCAGAGGGTGGGACCACCCACACATGGGGTGGGACCACCCACACATGGGGTAGGACCACCCGCACATGGGGTGGGACCACCCGCACATGGGGTGGGTCCATGCCGGGTGTGGGCGGGGCTGCTGTGGGGGCGGGGCCATGGTGGGGGCTGGGGGCTCACGTCGTTCTCGGTGGCCGCCTGGGGCAGCATCCTGAGCATGACGATGGTGCTGGCACGCGGCTCCTCCTCGGGGCCCTCCCGGTAATCCTGGTCCCGGTAGTCGCTGTCGGCGCCGAAGGGCAGCGCGGGAGCCACGGGGGGGTCCCGGGGGGGGTCCCGCTTCCGGGGGGGCTCCGCAGCCTCGTAGGAGGCCTGTGGGAGAGGGAGGTGTTGGGGGGGTCCCAGCACCCACCGCAGGGTGACCCAACGGCCCCTCAGGGTTTGACACTCACCTGCGGGGGGGTCCCGGGGGCAGGGGGCCCCTCTGGGGGTCCCCCATAGCCCCGATAATCCATGTCACGATAGTCGTGGTCCCTCTGGGTGCGGGATCCATCCTCGGGGGCGGGCGGGGCCCCCCCGTAACGCCCCGTCCGGTCCCCACGGCCACCCCTGTGAAGAGGAGAGGGGTCAGAGGCTACCGAGGTCCTCTCCGGCCTTGGGGGTCCCCAGTGATCGTCCCCACATCTCCCCCCTAGGAACCCAAATGGCCTCTTGGTGGTGCTCAGTGAAATCACCCCCCGTTGGGGGTCACCAAATACCCCCCAGAGGTGGCCAAATGTCCCCGTATGTGTCCCCTGTGGGGTCCCCAAATGTCCCCTCCCACCCGAAGTCCCCAATGTCACTTTGCTCCCTATGAAGTCTCCAAAATATCCTCCATGGAGAGTCTGCAAGCGTCCCCTGAGAGCTCCCCAAATGTTCCCCGCCAGGTCCTCGGTTTCGGGGTCCCCTGGGGCCCCCCTACCTGCGCTCGTACTCCATGGCACCGACACCTGTGGGGGCGGCAACTGGTCAGACTGGGAGGCACTGGGAACGGAAAGCTGGGACCACTGGGGGTGGTCACTGGAAGAGCCTGGGTTTAACTGGAAAGGATCTGAATGAACCGGTGACGTACTGGGACGGACTGAGAAGAGACGGTTCTGTGACAAACTGGGAAGCGTCCAGGGGGTGACTGCGAGGGAAATGGGATGAACTGGGAGTCACTGAGACCCGCACAGCAGAAGAGGGGGGGAAGGAGCCCCGTGATGCCCCGCCCCATCATTAGCATACAACGCGCGCTCAGCCCTGGGTCCCACCCCCTCCCCATCAGCGCGGGGGGCCCCGGTCAGCCCCACCCCTCCCGGTAAACCCGGCCTTGCCGGTCAACCCCACTCCACCCGATAAGACACGCCCCTCCCGGTCAGCCCCGCCCCTCTCAGTAATCCCGGCCCTGCCGGTCATTCCTGCCCCTCCCCGGTCATGCCTGCCCTTCCCGGTAATCCCGCCCCTCCCGGTGCTCCCCGCCCCTCCCGTTCGGCCCCGCCCCACCGAGCCGCCCGGACCTGCCCGCGCGGCGCCGCCGCCGCCGCTCCCGAGCGCCAAAATGGCGGCGCCGCTCCCACCCGGCCTGCTCCGGCCCGCGCGCCCGCCCCCTCCGCCCTTCCATTGGTCGCGATGCCCGCCCATCTCCGCCTCCCGCTTCGCCATTGGT